CCAACCCAAACCTTGGAATTCCCCAGGGATAGGCCCTCAAAGTGATGTCAAGTCCTGGCGGATTCACTATTTTCAGTCCTTTAATAACCCTTCCACCTTAGCCAAAATCTTGGCAGCCAAGGAAACCATGTGGTAGATATTTTAAAACTGAAGCCTTTCCAGAAAAGACAACCCCCTCCCCTCAAAAAAGGAATGAACCCTGTTCCATACCTGGGAGGGTGACTCTAGGTTACAAAACTAAAAAGAGCTGTGTCCAAGTTGAAGGGTGAGCCTGCCTCAGGATCCGGGCTGCCTTGGGAATAGGAGTTTAAGGGCATAGAGGAATGCTGTAGAAATCAGTAGACCTTTTTCCTCTGCTTAGCTGAAGTTTTGCTTCATTTGGACAGCCACAGACAGCCACAGCAGCAGTTGACATTTCATGGGATACGTGGGGGACTTCTCCAAAAGCAAATGACCAAATAAATTGTAAGGATAGTATTAAAAACAGGGAGCAAGAGGTGAATCTACAACTTTAAACAGACTTAAGATATATATCAACCAATGAACAATCCAAAGAAGAAATTAAGAAAATTATATTTACAATAGCATCAAAAAGAATATTTAGGTGATGAATGGATGGAACATAGATGATACTTAGGGCAGTGCAACTGCAGTGCAACTACTCTGTATGACAGTGAAATGGCAGATACACACTATTTTGCTGTATTATTATATTGTCCAAACCAATAGAAGGTACAACACCAAAAGTGAAACCTAATGTAAACTATGGATTTTGGTTATGATGTGTCAATATAGGTTGATCATCTGTAACGAATGTACCACTCTGTTGGAGGATGATGATAATGGGGGGGGCGGGAGGCCACATGAGTGTGGGCAAGAGGTATAGGAGAAATCTCTGTATTCTCCAGTTTTACTATGAACCTAAAACTGTCTAATAAAGTCTATTAGAAAAATAAAATAAGATACTTAGGAATAAACTTAACCAAAATGGGGGAAGACTTAAACAGTGAAAACTATGAAACTAAAGGAAAGAAATTAAAGACATAAATAAATGGAAAAATATCTCATGTTCATGGATTATAACACTTAACATTATTAAATATTCATAAAAGCAATCTCTACATTCAATGAAACCCCAACGGCCTTTTTAGTAGAAATAGATTCATATGGAATCTCAAAGGACCCCAAATAGCCAAAACCATTTTGAGAAAGGAAAACAAAGCTGGAGGCTTCACACTTTCTCATTTCAAAACATATCACAAAGCTACAATAATTAAAATAAGTGTAGTTCTTGCATAAAGACATATAGACCAATAGAACAGAATAGACAGCCCAGAAATAAATCCGCATGTATATGATCAAATGATTTTTTACAAAGGAGCCAACTCTACACAACGGGGAAAGAGAATCTCTTTAACAGATCGTGTTGGGAAAACTAGGCATCTACATGTAAAAGAAAGAAGCTGGGCCCATGCTTTACACCATACACAAAAATTAACTAAAAATGGATTAAAGGTCTAAAGTAAAACTAAAACTATAAAATTCCTAGAAGAAAGCATAGAGGGAAATCTTCACAACACTGGAATGGGCAATGCTTTCTTGGGTATGACACCAAAAGCATAGGCAGCAAAAGCAAAAACAGACAAATGGAACTACATCAAACTTAAAAACTTCTATGCATCAAAAGAAACAGAGAGTGAAAAAAGCAATCTATAAAATGGGAAAAACTATTTGCAAACTATTTATCTGATAAAGGGTTATAAAGAGCTCCTATGCTTAACAACAACAAAAAATAAAAAAAAATAAAAAAAACACCTGACTTAAAAAATGGTCATAGGACCTAAATAGACTTTTCTCCAAAGAAGGTATACAAATAACCAATATGCTTATGAAAAGATGCTCAACATCACTAATCATCAGGGAAATGCAAATCCAAACCACAATGAACTATTACTTCATGCCTCTTAGGAAGGCCATGATCCAAAAAAAAGCTGGAAAATAACAAGTTTTGGTAAGAATGTGGAGAAATTAGAATACTTGGTACACTGTTGGTGGGAATGTAAAATGGTACAGACATTATATGGAAAATAGAATGGAGGTTCCTGAAAATTTTTTAAAGAATTACCATGTAGAGAGAATATAGAAATTCAGTAATCCCACTTCTGAGTATATACCCAAAAGAATTAAAAACAGGGTCTCGAGGAGATATTTGCACACTCATATTCATTGCATTATTATTCACAATAGCCAAGAGGTGGAAGCAATCTAAATGCCCATCAATACATTAATGAATTCTAAAAATGTAGTATATACATACCATGGAATATTATTCAACCTTTACAAAGAAGAAAATCCTGTCATATACTATAGCATGGATGAGTCTTGAGAACATAATGCTAAGTGAAATTAAGCCAGTCATAAAAAGACAAATACTGCATGATTCTACTTTGTATGAAGAATCTAAAGTAGTCAAACTCAGAAACAGAAGCAGAATGGTGATTACCAGGGATTGAGGGGAGAGGGAAAAGAGTTCAATGGATATAAATTTTCAGTTTTACAAAATGAAAAAGTTCTAGAGATCTGGTGTACAACAATGTACATATAGTTACTAACTGTACAATAAAAATGGTTAGGATAGTAAATTTTATGTTTTTTACCACAATAAAAAAAAAACAAACAGATCAACCAACTGCAATGTGTGGAACTCATCTGTAGCTTGATTCAAATAAGTGATAAATAAATTTATGAGATAATAGGAGAAAATTGAATGCTGACTGGATATTTGATATTAATGCATTAATTTTTGTGTGTGATAATGAATGGAGTTTTTATGTGATTCCTCTCCTTTCAGATAATCAAACATTTTATGGGTGAGATAATATCTGGAATTTGCCTTGAAATAATCCAGCAGGGATGGGAGGTATGGAGGAATCAAGATGGCCATGAGTTGAGACTTATTAAAGCTAGATGATGGTGGGGCGCCGGGGTGGCTTAGTCGGTTAAGCGTCCGACTTTCGCTTGGGTCATGATCTCGCGGTTCGTGGGTTCAAGCCCCGCGTCGGGCTCTGTGCTGACTGCCAGCTCAGAGCCTGGAGCCTGTTTCAGTCTGTGACTCCCTCTCTCTCTAAAACCTCCCCTGCTCACGCTGTTTCTCTCTCTCTTCTAGAAATAAATAAAAATATTAAAAAAAAAAAAAAGCTAGATGATGGATACATGGAGGTCATGTAATTATGTCCTGTCTACTGTTATGGTTTTTTCCATAGCAAAGACTAAAATGAACATAAAGCAGGTGCCTCTGGGGTGGGGGTGGGGGCCGGTATTGAATTATTGGGTATTTATACTTTGCCTTAGGACTCATCTACCAAGTCTCCCTCTTCTCTTGCTAATGGTGTCCCTTCAGGGTGAATCCAGGTGTTTTGTGTTGACAGCATTCTCTAAAACCTTTGGTCTCTTCCACTAAGCAACAAAACAAGGAACTCAGCCAATTTTTAAAAGTGAAAAAACTCAGGGACAGCAACTTGGGCTTAGTTGAGCACTTCATTGTTTTACCGACAGCTGTGAGTTACGGTTTTAGGAATGTTGTATTTCAATAAGCATTGCTAGATTGGCTGGCTAGATTCACTGCCCAACAGTCCACAGGGTCCCTGAAGGAGCTGCAGGCCACTCCAGAGCCCCAGCACCTGGCACGCACACATTAGCGCAGGGCAGGGGTCACTGCCTAGGTGGAGCAGAGAATGGGGAGAAGACAACCCCAAAGGAGGGAATGATAAGGGCACCAGGCACAGACAGAAAAGACGCAGCAAAACCGTTGTGCTTAGTTGGAAATGTTGTTCGAGGCAGGCTCTTCCCTAGAAGAAGGACGGACACTCTCTTCCACTCCCTGCACTGCGCGGCTCCCTGCCCCGGCCTGCTCTTCCTCCAACACCTCCCACACAGAAACAGTGCCAGTTCTCAGGAGGCTGACGTTTCCCAAACTTAGAATAAGGACAGTGGGGACGTGAGGGCCACTCAGATTCCTCACTCTTACCCCAGACCTCCTCTTCCCTTACCAGCCAGAGGGTGAGGACAGTAATAGCCAAACCAAATACCAAAGAAGACAGAGAAGCCCAGGTTAATTTCTACTGCCACCGAGTGCTCGCTTCGGCAGCACATATTCTACTGCCACTGGCATTTATGTTTTAATAGCTTGATGACCCACCGAGAGAAGCCCTTATGATGAGTATCTTTGGTAAAAGAATATACAATTAAAATAATCTATTGTGATATCTATACAAGTGGTTCAAAAAGAAACTACTTTGACAAGAAACTATGTTATAACACTTTAATAATTTCAATAGAACCAACTTCAGGAACAGATGCATACATACATAAAATTCAGACAATTGAACAGTGTACTCAAATGCATCAAATTCTTAAAAATCCCCAAAATGGATTCACAGATATGAAAAGGTAATTTTAAAGCAGTGCAGACTAGAGTAAAACAGACAAGATTATTACTTTGCATTTACCAATAAGACAACAGCCTGTAGATACATTAGACCTTTATGAGAACACCTGTAAGGAATGTTAGAGACTCATTAAAAAGGAATACAATTGATCTCAGAAAGATGAATTTATAGTTAATAATTTCTTTGGTCCTCCAAGTCACATCTGTTTTTACTTTAAAATACCAAACATGAGTTGAGTGTTTCATTCTAGTTCTAAATGTCTAAATGTTGAGCAGGATAATGTTTATATCAGATTAGATTTTTTTAAAGGAGCTCAGAATGAATTAACACTATTTCAGAAACTCCAAATATAGAAAAATATAGGAAACAGAAGTAGGAAGAATTTTTTTTTAAACAGCACTTCTGGGGGCGTCTGGATGGCTCAGTCGGTTAAGCAAACAACTCTTGGTTTTGGCTCAGGTCATGATCTCATGGGTTCGTGAGATCAAGCCCCACATTGGGCTCTGTGCACTGACAGATTTTCTCTCTGCCTCTCTCTCTCTGCCCCTCCTCTGTGCATGTGCACTCCCTCTCTCTCTCTCAAAAATAAATAAATAAACTTTAAAAAATAAATAAATAAACATCACTTCTTCCACCTTGTCCCATCATAAGTCAAATGACATCAAAGTGGCAGAGTTAGGACCACCAAGATTAAAGTAAGCACTGTAATTAGTTCTTCTTAAGGTAATGGAATAAATCTGAATAGCATGATGTCAACCAAATAAGAGACTTTTCCATGGAATGACTGTTGTTGTGTTTTTGCAGGGGAGTTGGGTTTTTTCTTTGTTGTTTTAATATGGCCCACACTGCCCCAGTGGAGGAAATTTCAGGTAGTCATTAATAAGGCAACAGCTTCCTGGAAGAAAAGACATATACCACTTGAACAGTTATACTGAAGACAAGACCCACAGGGACCACAAGAGGAGCCAGTATGGGGGCTTCCTATATTTTCCAGTAATTCCAGAAAATTACAGTCCATTTTCATAGGCACCAAGAATGCGGCATTCATTAACACTGGATATCACAACTCAGTCCAGTTAGTTCATTCTGCAATCTTTCATATTCACAGAAGCTATGGTTCCGTAGACCTGAAAATGATGGACATTCTCAAAAGTTTCTGGAAATACTTAGAAAAATACTTGATAAGGTTTTTTAAAAAAAGTTTTGAGACATCTACAAGGAATACACAAAGTAAGCATGAAAGAGACTTCTAAAGGTAAAATTGTGAGGACTAGTTATTTGCAGTATTGGTACTGATGTCTCATAAAATAACGGTTTTTTAAAAAATGGCAAAGGCATCTACACTCTAAGTGGTGTGATATTCTCATCAAGGCACAGAGAGTTAAATGTCTAAATCCTTGTATGTTGACATGGGAATACACTTATAAACAAATTCCTTGTACTTGAATTTAAAAAAGAATAGAAAGTAGAAATGTGCCTTTTTAGCTCACAGTAAAATCGAAAACATAGATATTCCACCACCTTCCTTTGATGACTAACATTACAACGGAATAGTTAAAAAAATAAATATGTAAAAACAAAGTGCCCTGGCAGTTTAATAAGTGTGATTCAAGTGGAGCCTGTTGGACTTTGTGTTTGCAGAGCAATGCTGCTCGCTGTACAGGAATTATTTTAAGCACTACACCATTTTTGTTTGGGGAGGAGAAAAAAACAGTATATTGACCATAGTTTCCTCCCATTCCCAACATTCCGATGCTTATGAACCCAATTACCGTAGTATTTGAACAAAATACTTGAGTTTTTCTTCCTTTCCAGCACCCAATGGTTATCCAAATGGCAGTGGTTTTGTGCATGTAACTTACACTATTTCGCAGTTTCCTTGACAGTTACCACTAACAGGTGGCAAGAAGAAAGTAGAGGGCTCACCCCATTATTAATTATTTTTATTTGATTTGCTATAAATAATTATTAAACACAATTAGTGACAAGGGATAAAGTCCACATCTGTAACAACTGAAAACGGAATGTACAAACAGTTAAGACCAGACAAACAATGTTTCTAACAGCACAATCAGCAAACCACAGGACATACGCTGAAGTTCAACTCTTAATGAGAGTTAGAAACTCTTCCCGAGTCTTTGGATCTTCCCGGAACACACCCAACATCGTGCTGGTCACAGTTTTGCTGTTCATTTTCTGTACCCCTCGCATTACCATACACATGTGTCTACAAAACAAGACAACAAAAGTGGCTTAAAGAAATTGACAGTTGCTGGTTTGGTTTTCAAAGTAAAAAGCAAGCCAAAAAGTTAAACGTGATTATACTGAGTTCACAGCTACCAGGTGTATCCAATATCACTTCTTAGATTTGACCTTAAGTTTTCATTTAAGTTTCTCACTGGTTGAGTCTTTGGTGCATCTAGCAGACAGGGGAGAAAACGGAATTTTCTTTCTTGTGAAAATACTACAAGGGTTCCTCAGAAAGACAACAACTTCTGGATAAAATGAGATGCAGAATTGGGAGAAAACGGAATTTTCTTTCTTGTGAAAATACTACAAGGGTTACTCAGAAAGACAACAACTTCTGGATAAAATAAGATGCAGAATTTTCACTTGAACAATCTTTAGGACCAAGACCACACAATGCTAGCTTAGGTGTTGGGAGAAATACTGAAGTGGGCTGGTCTCACCAGGCAGGATCCAGAGAACAGTGACCACAGTGAGACTAAGCAACCAGAGAGGCCAGACAGCGTGCACAGCACAGAGCCCATGCCATGCCAGAAGAATGGTTAAGATGTGTGCAATTCCCATAATTCATTCTAACTTAAATAAGTGTCTTCGGGCACCCTTTGCACACCATCTGAGCTCCATTTTTTAAAATGTGTGACAAAATGTTAGGAAGAGTCTGTTTAGAGCAACAAAGAGCTGAAGAAGAAATCAAGAGAAGACATAACATGCTACTGGCTGCATGAATCACTACGCTGATGACTCCCTACACCTCCATAACCCTCACCAAAAACAAACAAAACCCTGTCTCCTGTACCATAGTTCCTTACATCAGCAACACAGTAAATGAAAGAGGTTTAAAAAAAAAAAAAAAAAGCTTCAGGCTCAGAGATCAAAAATGGGACAGTGTCAGTTGTGCACGACCACCCAGCGCAGGAAACAGAGCAGCACAAAATATTTCTGCGCACCACAGGACATTATTAAAGGCAAACATGGACTTACGTTGCTTCCACTACCACCCCAACTCCGGCGGGCCGCAAGGCTTCTGTGATGGCTACCGCGATTTGTTTCGTAAGACGCTCTTGCACTGTGGGTGTGACAAGAAGCTCAGTTTAGGAGTCTGACACACACAGCCGTCTTTAGAGTATTCGTTGTCTTTAGAATATTTGAATTCTTAAAAACCAGACTTCTGGGAGGTTTCAGAGCCAAGGCACACCAGCTTTTTCCCAGTTTGCTTTGGCTGCTGCCTGGACCACAGGAGGCAGCTGTTCAATTCCCTCACCTGCAGAGTAAGTACTGAAGGGGGCTCAGTACCACTGGAGGAAACGGATAAGAATGACAGCTGTCTCTTAGGTGTGCAGTAAAACCAACACAATACTGATAACAAGCACCTCCAAGCAAATGAATAAATAACTCGCAACCGGACTAACAAAGGCGCTACAGTCCAGCTACTGAATTGTATGTAGAGCTGAAAACCAACAGTTTAACCCAAGCAATGGAGTTCCTGTACTGAATAAACAACTCATCTCTGAAAACACATTAAGAATGTTCACTGCAGCACTGCATATATTTGAAAACTGACAAAATCTTCAAACCTTTATTAGAGCAAGAATTGGTTAAATCAAGCCCCAGCACAGCCCTACAATGGAATGCTAAACAGCAAAATGAATGAAATAGTTACATGCATATGGGGAAAAAAAGTTTGATTTGTCAAGTGAAAAAAAAATAGAGGGTAAAAAGTGAAGCCCATACATACAATATGAGGCCATTTAAAAAATATAATAAAAATAAATTGAAAATATTGGTAAATGCGTAAAATATGAAGGAGTGTGCAAATACAGCAACGATTATTTCTGGAGGCTTGAAACACCGCAGACTTTCCCTTTCTATCTTATACTCCTGTGAGGCTTTAATTTTGGTAGGTCATATGTATTATACTTGAAATAAGAACAACAAAACATACTTTTTCCTTAAGAAAAAAATGTTTTTCTGTAAATAAAAGTTTAAAAGTTTACCTTGTAATCGTCTACTATAGATTTCTACAATCCTAGAAAAGAAAGAATTGTTTTAGTTAATCATAAATTAGTTTGAAGTGGAATTGGTACAGCTTCTTCAAAAGACTAAAAGGAGTTTATTGAAGCAATTGTAGGGTGTGGACAAGAGACTGAATCTTCTAGGAGGAGAAAAGATACAAAATCTACATGGAAATGAGAAGACGGAGGTTCTTGAGGAGACCACCAAGCATGACACAGAGTGGTACTTCCTGATGTCCCCAAAGAGAAAATTAAATGAACATTCACTTAGGAAAAACACAATAAGAGGTAATTTTAGAGCTCCCAAGTTGTCAATTTTAGGCCAAATCTCAAGTGTTCTAATTAATCATATTGTTTAATCACAGCTTAAAGTTCAAGTTAAAAATAAAAAGACTATTTGTTAATTAATAGCAGGCCACTGTCAACTATTGTACCCACTAAACCTATTAGGATAATCAGATTAGAACTGAACAGACCTCTTCAGACATCTCTTTATAAGATAGATCTATATAAGCACTCAATACGATTAACTCCCCAAAATAAAAGCCTCCTGATCTTAGCTTATAACACAATCTGTCGACTGATGGGTTTTCCACTTTCAACATCTTTCACTCTAGTTGTGAAATGTAAAGATGGCCACGTGAATCACTCATTTGAAGATAACAATTCACGTTAAGGATCTTCCCTTAAAATTCGACCTTTTAGTCCTGAGTTTGGACTCAATTTGAGGATCACCTCACCTGTGAGGCATTTCATGGCTCTTCTCCCCCACCACTATGCTGCTCAGATAAAACTGAAAAGTTGTTCCTTTATACCCATTACAGTCAATAAAGTCAGTAATGGGTGTGACACCCTGTTTACCACTCATTCTGAAGGTGGGAGCCACCCTTATTCTTCTTCGTGTTTCTGGCAGATTTATAACATTGAAGGAATACATGTTTTCAATTTTGAACAAAAACCTGAGGAAGGATGGTATTCAAACTCCTGGATAGGACTCATTTCTTCTGGGTCAAATTTTTCTATTTATTACTTCTGACAGTTCTCCAGGTGATTATTTTCTGTTGTATTAATAGGAAATGCCATTGCTTTAAAAATTAGTAATGGAAGGGTGTCTGAGTGACTCCGTCTTGATTTCAGCCCAGGTCATGATCTGATAGTTCATGAGATGGAGCCCTGTGTCATGCTCCATGCTGACACCTTCTTCCTCTCTCTCTCTCCCCCTCCCCAGCTTGCACACGTGCTCTTTCCCTCTCTCTCAAAAATTAACTTAGAAAAATAAAATAAAATAAATAAAATAAAAAATTAGTAATGTCTTCCGTCTCATAGTCATTTCTTTTAAGAATTTCAGGTTCAACATTAGACAACAGTGATATCAGGCACCCATATTTTACTCTACACTTTAATAGGAATGCCTCTAACATTTGCTATCACCCATGATGCCTGCCTGTTTCTGAGAGATAGCCACTCTCCTGCTAAAGGAAGGCCATTCATGCAGATCATTGAGTGCCTTCTGTGTATATGATTATATGATGAGCAGGGTCCCTATGCTCAGAGTGTTTATAATTTATTCCTAGTTTACTCATTTTTCATTTTCAAGTAAGCAGTAGGCATTGAATTTCTGTCTTCTCGGCGTTAAAAACAATCATATAGTTTCCCTGAATTAAAGAAAAGAACATCTTTATTTTGCCCTCTTCCTTGAAGGTATTTTAAGAGGTATTTGTTGAAAGTAGAATTCTAGGGGTGTCTGGGTGGCTCAGTCGGTTGAGTGTCTGACTTTGGCTCAGGCCATGATCTTGGGGTTCATTAGTTCAAGCCCCATGTCGGGCTCTGTGCTGATAGCTCAGAGCCTAGTATCAGCTCAGAGCCTGGAGCCTGCTTTGGAATCTGAGTCTCTCTCTCTCTCTGCCCCTCCCCCACTCATGCTCTCTCTCAAAAATAAACAAACATTAAAAAGAAAGAATTCTAATTTGACACGGATATTTATTTGCCTTTTAATGTTGCCATTAGCAAACAATATCAGTCTAATTGTCTTTACCCTATAGGTAATATTTTTCTCTGCAGCTGCTTTTATGACATTTCAGAATGTGTACTCTGAGGTTTTCTATGTTGTGTGTAGGTGGGGATTTAATTTTATTTGCCCTCTTTGGGATTGATTAGGGTCCCTAAATCTAAAGAATGACTTTTTACCCATGTGTTCCACAAACATTTTTGGCCTTTATCTTCTCTAATATTGCACTTACCCCATTACCTCTGTGATCTCCAGGAATTTCAATTAAGGACATATTAGACCTCAGTCTTCCATGTCTCTTACATTCTCATTCATATTTTCCACCTAGCTCTCTGTGTTACATTCTGTGGAATTTCTTCAGACCTTTTTTCCAGTTCACTATTTTTTACTATGTCTAACCTGTTATTTAATGTAACTGTATTGGGCTTCAATCCAATTATCACTTTTCTTTCTAGAAATTTTATTTGGTTGTTTTTTTTAAATCTAATTCTGAAAATGTGCCACACTTTCAGTATTCTCAATTTCTAACATATTCATTGTATATTCTGCATCTGCTAGCTTCAGTCTCTCCCCTCTTTGACTATTTGTTTCATCTGACTCTGACCCATGGTAGTTTTTTTTTTTTTTAACTTTTGATAAACTCATGCTCCTTGGAATTCTTTGAAGCTGAAATAAAAGTGCATCAGAGAATGAGCCCTTGTCTCTTCCAAGTGCTAGAAGGGTACCTCATTGGCAACATTTTAAATTAAGTTACTCCCTTGGGTTTTCTGAGGACCATACAGGATGATGTAAATTTTGAGCATAAACCCTTGTGAATACATAGCTACAGGTTCTTTTTCTTACTCTCCCCAGAACAAAGCTAACAGGTAATCTCTCTCTCTCAATTTGGGGTAGAATAGGGAAGACAGAACTCTGGATTTGACTCCAGTGCCAGCTAATTCTTGTGAATTCTTACTGGAATTGCTTACACTTCCATCAATGTATGAAACGTTCACACACATTAGATCTCAGTATGCTATACTAGGAGAGATATCATTACCATCTAGTTTACCATACTCCCAGAATCTATAGTTCTTGGAGTTAACTTCCCTGGGTCATGATGAAAACAATACTTGTGCCTGTTAGAGTAGGAGTTTTTTGTATTTGGGATTTTCACAACTACATTCATAAGTGAGATTAGTCTATAATCTTTTTAAATGCTAGCTTTATCAGACTTTTATCAGGAAATTATTTTATCAGGAAATTAATCATCAAATTAATTGTATAGCTTTTCAGGTTTACCTGAATCATTTATGCAACACTGGAATTAGTGGTTACTTGGAAGTTGCCTTTTTTTTTTAATGTTTATTCACTTTTTTGAGAGACAGAGACAGATAGAGCACGAGCAGGGGAGGGACAGAGAGAGAGGGAGACATAGAATCCGAAGCAGGCTCCAGGCTTTGAGCTAGCTGTCAGCACTGAGCCCGATGTGGGGCTCGAACCCACAAACTGCGAGATCATGACCTGAGCTGAAGTCAGTTGCTTAACTGACTGAGCCACCCAGGCACCCCAGAAGTTGCCTATTAAATTGACCATCCACTCCTTTCCCTCCCACCCAACTCACAACATTAATCTGACTTTTTCTAATGGTTACTAGTTCATATAAGTTTTCCAACTCTTGGCTCATTCCCTTCTCTCTCCACCTTTTTTTTTTTTTTTTAACTTATTAAGATTTAAAGTTTCCAAAGCATACTTTTAGTTACATAACCTCATTCCCAAGTATAAATCCTTCTCCTCTCAATCAGACTTCTAAGCAATCTATGATGTGTGATCTTTTGGGTTTTTCTATTCATTTTTAATTTTCTAATTTAATCACCTTTTGTGTTTCTTCTTTCCCATTTGTTCTATTAAGCTTGTTTTACAATTTTTTCTTTAAAAAAAGGCTGGATGCTTGGTTTACTTGTAGTGTTTCTTATTTAATAATGAAAGCATTTGTGGCTACAAATTTATCTCCAAAGTGCAAGTTTTTTTTAAAAAAAATTTCAGCTTTACTGAGGTATACCTGACATAAATATTATAAAGATATTTATAAGTATATGTAAGTGTAAGATATTTAAAGTGTAGACTGTGATTTGATATACATATACATTGTGGAAAAATCCCAGCTAGTTTATTTATACACCCACCACTTTACATATTTACCTTTTTTCCCCCCCAGTAAGAACAATGAACACTGGAGTACAGATAGCTCTTCAATATTCTATCTTCATTTCCTTTGGACATATACCCAGAAGTAGTATTGCTGAATCATATGCCAGTCCTATTTTTAATTTTTTGAAAAATCCCCATACCGTTTTCTATAGTGGATGCACCAGTTTACATTCCCACAGAGTACAAGGGTTCCCTTTTCTCCACAGTCCCACCAGTACTTATACCTTTTTTATAATACTGTAGCCATGCTAACAGATATGAGGTGATATCCATTGTGGTTTTGATTTGAATTTTCCTAATGATGTGAAATTGAGCACCTTTCACATACCTGTAGCCATCTGTATAACTTCTTTGGAGAAATGTCTATTCAGTTCCTCTGCTCATTTTTAAAAAATTGGATTGTTTCTTTGCTATTGAGTTGTAGGAGTTCTTTATATTTTTGTGCACAGTAACCCCTTACCAGATATGTAATTTGCAAATATTTTCTCCCATTCTGTAGGTTTCTTTTTCATGGTTTCCTTTGCTATGCAGAAGCCTTTTAGTTTGATGCAGTCCCACTTGTTTATTTTTTATTTTGTTCCTTTTATTTTGGTGTCAAATCCAGAAAATCATCACCAAGACCAATGTCAAGGAGCTTACCCCCTATGTTTTCTACAAGTTTATGGCTTTAGGTCTTATGTTCAATCCATTTTGAGTGGATTTTTGTGTATGGTATAGGAAAGGCGTCCGGTTTTCCCAATACCACTTTTTAAAGTTTGATTTTTTAAGTAATTTCTTACACCCAATGTGGAGTCCAAACTCATGAACCCAAAATGA